TCTATGAAATCTTTTTCGTTTTGAAAAGTACATGAGCGAAACCATCAACCAATTGATATTGAAAGTGATTTTAGATCAATTTTCTTCCTCCAACTTCACCATCCCGCTCTCTTACTTTAGACTTGAAAAAAAATTAACAGCATAATTGAACGTGTTTGAAAGTTGTTTTTCAAAAAATAAGTTAAGATTTATTTTAAATAAAAATAGATTGTTACTACACTAAATAATCTTGAAAATGATATGTGACAAGTAATTATTTAAAAATTAATGTAGCTAATTTTTTAAGTACATCCAAATCTAAGTTCCAAGAAAATGTTAGGAGGTATGTGGGTGGGGGTGGGGGTGGGGGTGGGGTGAGGTGAGGGGCTTGTGACAAGATGGAAAAGCCCATTTAACGAACTTGTGCCCATGTTGGTTGGTGTGTGAATTTGTGGGCCAAATTTGTCATACAACATAAATTTTTTCTTTGTTTAACAATTTTCTAATCTAAAATATAATTCTTTGTACAAAAACTGGCCAATTAGGTCCAAATTTGAACGTAACGTGCATTATTTAATTTATTAGCCTTGAATTTTGGGATATTTGTACAAGTATTAGATATTGGTAAAGGAAGCAAGAGTTATTTTATCTTTAAAAAAAATGATTCAGATTTTGTTTTACAAAATTCTAATTGGACACGTAAAATTATTTGTCTTTGGGAGTTTCTTGAATTTCTAGGCTGGAATGAGCTGGTTTGCATGGAAACAAGTAGGGTCCAAATGCAGCTATCTCTTCACCAACCTCTTCTTGTAATTTCAATTTATGGAACAAAATCATTGTGTTATTAACTTCTTCAAACATTTGATAGCTTGCACGTTCGGTTTTCTTGGTGGATTTTGTGTACAAGTTAGGAATACACGTGTGTGCGCATGTGCGTGTCTATATCACTCGTTCCCTTTCTTATCGTGAAAGTAGAACCTGCGATTCATCCATAACCTCATCCAAGAACTGATTTGATCCAATCCGTTGGAATTAGTCTTATAATACATCAGACCCATCTCCATTATTGATAGAATAGATGCCATTTCTTCAAAATTTTATTCTCATTCAAAATCATGGTGTAACATGTATCATCATGTGTTCAATTATGGAATAAATGAAATAAATCCAGAAATTATTATTTTTATTTAAGAATTAAATTTTATTGGAACTGTCCACATCTAGTTCATCCTTTGGAACCATATCACACAGCGGATCTGATGAAACAAGGTGCGGTTTTAGATACGAAACTTATGCATACATATCTTAGGCTTTATATTTTATCATTGAGCTCTTAATATTCAAGATGCCACCATCATTAATCACCAAGTTGCAGTTTGCATGAACACATCATTTCCCATGTTTCCAGATACCAGTTCTGTTTTTTCCCTTCCTCAAAGTCATAGTGCATAGAGTTCTTCGCAGGATCCAATTTCCATATTCAAATAAGAGCATTTACCATGCAATGAAGATATAACGAAAACATGTTTAGGCACAAAAGATTTTAACTTTTTCTTTTTTACTATTGTTTGTCTTGTCTGGTCTCGTTCTCTATATGTTATGTTTAATTGAGCTTCGGAAAGCATAACTAACACAGATGAAATAGGAGTAGGTATGCATTGAAGACAGCTTCAAGTAAAGCAGTCAATCCGAAAATAAATGTACTAGAGTAATTATCTTCTTGGATGGTAAATTCCATAAGAGTAATTGCACAGAACTTAAAAGTTATTCATATAGAAAATAAACATTTAGGTAAGTAACGTGAACCTCACTTTAGCAGAAAAGGAAAACTGAAAATCTGCTAAACTAGAAGCTTTTATCTTCATTTTACTATTATTTTCAACATTTAGTCCCTAGACCTCGTCAAGGTTGTTGGATTTTAGTAACCTGTCATCTTTTTCCGGTCTGTCGATGGACAGAGATTGGCGTCGCTCTTTACCTCCAGGCAGAGATGAGACGTGGCCATACCAAATCATGCCTATCACTGCAACAATCATTCCCAAAACCACATGAAGATTTAGTCCCTCTTTTCCGAAGAACAAAAATCCTACTGTTAAGATAAGAATGGTCTTCATATGACCAAGCACTTGAAATGACACTGCTGTGAATCTGCCGATGCAGATGAATTGGCTTATATTGGTTCCGATTGCAATGGTACACGACAAGATTATGAACAGCTGCAGAAAACAAAATGATTACAAGTTGTGAGGGGTTGATAAAAATGAAACAAGTAAAATGGGGACAGATATTAAAACTGGACAAAATTAAATTCGACCTTCTCCCATTTAGCACCTCCCCAAAGCTGATAATTGTTAGTAGACATGTTAATGCCATCATCTTTGTTTATAATAAGTAAACACCATGCATGTGTTAAGTATTTATCATTCGTGCAATACCTAATATTTATATTACCCAAATAGCATCAACTTCATGCTATTTGTGTGGTATGGCCATCAAGTATGTGGAACCATGAATAATTTCTGTTGCTTGTCATCCCCTCAGTTCACATGGTTATCAAAAGTTAAAATACTGGCAGCCATTGAATTTTGTGAAAGGTTTCACAAAGGCCCTTTGACTCTAAAAAGGGTTGAACCTGTTGGCTTGATTACAACATATGTTCAATTTAGATTTCAGGGTTCAAAAGGAGAACTTTGCTCAAGAAAAGTCATTCAAATGTTCCAAACAAATAAAAACAACATGAATGGGAAAGAGGAGCGGCAAGACCAGATAAAGTTGTCTCTCCACGACTCCACCATCATCCAACCATATGCACACATTTTTGGTATCATCTAAATAGAACCTCCTCTGGCTACTTGGCTAATCACCACCTACTTCACCATCCCCAAGATCCCAAATAATTTTTTTCTGATATAGTCATTCTTGTTCATTCCATCTCCCTCTCACAATATCTTTCTTTCTTCCTTTCCCCTCCCTCACTGACATAAAGAAATTTTATGGAACGTGTGAACAAACATTCGGTAGATCTGAAATTCTAAGAACAGTTCAATGAGTAACCAGTTCACATCCAAATTCCACTATGAATTCCATCGTATCAGCCTCAATGAGAGATTTCCTAGAACATCCCACATCCAACCCAAGGCTTACACCATCAGAAGTCCATGATTACAAGGAGGAGAGCAGCAAGTGTGGCTATGATATGATTTGAAACATTTCTTTGAATCAGTTTGCATGTGACATGGATTCTGCAGCACTGAGTCAATTATTGATATAAAGCAATAGTGGTTGTGTATGACTCGAATACATGGTCTGTTGTGCAATTCGTAAACATCCACTTGAGCACTTAAAGAAACATGTCTTGAGTCTGTTTGCATGCGACATGGATTCTGCAACCCACATGCTCCTACCAATTAGATTATCTACTGCCAAAAGAAGTACACAAGTGGATACTTTAGAGTTATCATATCCTCGTACAAGCTCCATACATGATATAAAGCAATAGTGGCTAGAAATCGAATTATGGGTGTTGTGTAACTCATAAACATCGACTTGAGCACTTATAGAAGAAGATAAATCAACCGGTGGGTGTTTATAGGCTACATAATCTGTTGATGCAGGATTTACTGGTATCAGAATGGATACCCATCATAAGTGTGAGAACTAAGTGCTACACCACGTGGAGTGAGAGCCACCTCAAGAATTTCACTCTACCTGCAGCTAGGGATATTAAAACTCCTCCAAATTTGATTATAGATCATGCGGTCTTCTCGAGGATGTTGAGGATCTAAGAAAGGAGTTAAACCATGATCTAACGTAAAAAATGAGGGGTTTGGGTGACTAGAATAAGATTGTGACTTGTGTAAGCAATGGACATTACTTGAATAGTCATATAGAAAGCGAACAAGCAATCAGTGGGTGTCTATAGACTACAAATTCTGTGTGGCGTGCCTTGACCAGCAGGCTCATTATGTTACAGCTCCCATCCAACTTAATGGCAACATGTAACATAACTACCACATTTGAGCCTTTGGTTAAATTGGGATATCAGTGTGTTAGAATTTAGGTGTGACCCGAATTCTTTGTTGAAAATAATTGAGAGTTCTAATTAAAATGTATATTAAGAAGAATTCTATTTAGAATGCAATTGTTGAATCCTAATCAAGTTTACTTGACAAATTCTAATTGAAATTCTATTTGGAAGCCTATTGGGAGTAGGAATTTGTATTGGACTTGAAGAAGACATTGAGATGAATAAAATCAAGATTTTTGGAGTAAAGGACCTGAAAGTGGGCGCTGCAGCTCGCCCCTGCGTGATTTTTCTGTCCTTTTCGGTTTTAGACTCCATTTTTGACATTCCACTTCAACTATAACTCTATTATAAGGGTTTGGACATCCCCTATTTGTTCCCTATATATATATTTAGTTCTTCATTGTATTTTAGATGAAATTAGACAAATCATAAACACATAATCTTTGTATTCTCTCTTCATAATATAATAAAATCTTCACTCTCTGCAAATTACTGTATTCTGTGTTCTTGTGATCAATTACTTCATATTGTGGCTATAATCTCTTATCTTTTTACAACAAACTAGTATCAGAGTATTCCAGTCCATAACAAGTGGTATCGGAGCTTTTGGTGTTGAAATTATTGGAAAGATCGAGATTTTTCATGATGGCAGTAATGAAGTATGATATTTCGCTATTAGATCGCAATACGAGATTCGCTTTGTGACAAGTAAAGATGCGAGCAATACAATTTTGGTCTGGCCCCGAGGCACGCCGCCCCATCTATTTCCCCCCAACGCAATTTTTTCTGTCCTTTTCGGTTTTGGACTCCGTTTTTAACATTTTACTTCAATTACAACTCTACTATAACGGCTCGTACGTTTCCTATTTGTTCCCTAGATATATTTAGCTTTTCATGGTATTTTAGATTAAGTTAGACAAATCATAAACACATAATTTTTGCATTCTCTCTCCATATTATAATAAAATCTCAATTATCTGCAAATTACTTTATTCACGTGCTCTTGTGATCAATTACTTCATATTGTGGCTATAATCTCTTAATCTTTTACAACAAACTGGTATTAGAGTATTCCAGTCCATAACACAGTGGAATTGAATGGAACTTTGAGCTGAATGAAACTGTGGAATAATGTCTTTAACAATGTCTTTTTACCCCACATTTAACAATGTCTTCCTCATGGTACATTCTAATTAGTGGAAGAACAGTCTTATCTGGCGGTTACTTAAAAATTTCACTTTTCTCCAGCAATGTAACTTCAGCAAATCCATGGAAAGATACACAGTTATTCTGTTTAAATGCTGACGCTCAATAGAACTATTTCACAAGCTCTTATACATTAAGAGACACTCAGCTGCACTGTCAACAAGGCAAGGACTACAAATATTACATGGCAGATGCTAAAGAACACTTTTCTAATACCTTGTACAAATCATTATCCTTTTAGCAGTTTCATGTAGAATTTGCCAAATCAAATTATCTCATGGCTACTTATGCATGACTGGAAAGGGTCCCTGAATTTTTAAAGGGTAATAATTAAGACTAGTGAAATAATTAAATATAAATCTAGAACTTCGGATGTACTGTCGCAACATAATATATTACATGTACTACATTGGAACACTTAACCTCCCCCCCCCCAACCCCCAAAAAAAAAACCGAAATGAGAACTATTTTATTGCTAAAAGTACATGCAATACAAACCAAAAATGTCAGGCCTATGCAAGGTATAATGCAACAAAATGAGAGAAGCAACATCATAAGCGCCATAATTGTGTGCAAACAAAATCATTCTGCATTCTAAACTTAAAATATTATCTTTAAGGTGCCTAAACACTTACCATTGATGTATGAGTATAGTTATACATGTCAACCCTCTTATCTGTCAACCAGTAGTCCATAAAGGGCCCTACTAACAACAAAGATGCAGCTTGAGGGGGTGCAGTGTGCCCTAATAGGTTGAAAGAACCAATTGAATGCTTCCTTTGAAGAAAATGAACGTACTGGCACACAAGAAAAAATGAAAGAACCAAAACATAAGTCACAGTTAATTGCATAAGTGAAGCTATATATTTGATAACTTAAAAAAAGTTCTACCTAACAGATTAAACAATAGCATATAACTACAGAAAATTTAGGAAATGGGCATCCTTTTATGAGGTACCAATGGAAGTCATGGAAAGTTCATTTTGAGAGGCAAACTGCAGAACAAAAACAACCAGTAAGATGAATCTGACTAGGTTGGTTTTCTTCAATATTCCTTAACGACAAAAAAGAGTCCAACATGAGAGAGAGAGAGAGAGAGAGAGAGTTGATCACCAAACAAAATAAAAAATATGATTTCAGAACTCATTCGAAATTACTTCCCAGATTGTGCACACTCCAAACACAGCCCATAAGCATAGACCAGAGACAGTTTCCCAATCAACGAGTCTTCATTACCATCCAAAAAAGTCACAGGTTTAAGGAAAGATGACTTACATACTGCTGCAGAGAAGTGCTCCAAACTGCTATGAAGGCAGCAATAAAACCTTTGCCATTAACACTCACATCAGTAACGGTACAAATTGCAACACCCAGTAGAACAACTAAAATGCTTAGTTTGGTTCCCCTCGAGTATCGCACGTTGTCCAAAACAATTTCGAGAAAACATGACACGGGGATCATACTCAGCTTTGCAATCTGATATGTTAAAAATCAGCAGGAGCAATAGATGTTGTAGATTTGATATTTCCAGTGACAGATAAAAATCTAGTATATATCCGAACTGACCTGATAGAATCCCACAGAATTCCACATTAAACTAACATTCATTCCAACAATAGAGAAATTTGCAAATAAAACATATTTCAGAAGCTCTGAGAAGGGAAGTTGAGAACTCTGGATATATCCAAGCCGCTTAAGAATCAGAGTCATCAGGGTAGTTGCAACAAAGTGTAGGCCAGTTAATGTCGTAGCTGCAGGACAGATGGTTGGAAAAGGATCAGGACTGTTGTAGACAGAGAAACAAACATGAGATATCAATTTCTCAATTTAACTGCATGATTGCCACATTATGTTTTTAACATAATTTAACAAACTTTGCATGATAATTAAAAAAACTAATAGCTAACAGTTCAAAAATCCCGTTGGTTGAGAATACACAGATTTCTTTCTTTCCAAGTTTTCAATCCTAAAACAGATGAAGGTTTCGGATGCCAAAACGAATAAACAAGGATGGTTCAAGATTAACTACTTGAAAAATGTCTGAATTTCAGATTGTCTCAGATGATAAGCTAATGACCCTGACAGAGATAATGATAAAGGGACATAGACCATGAGACTTGCCATGATCAGCACATATAAAGAAATTAAAAACTCCATAATATAACCCTCTATTCCTTGCCCCCGCCCCACCCCCAATTTTTTAGGAAAAAAAGGAATATGTAAAAGAAGGGATGGATGGAACCAAATATCAAGACATGCATGAGGGTGGAGAAAAACAGGTCATGAGTTTATCACATCATCAAAAGATTGAGAAAGGTTCAATGTTGACATAATAGATCAGACTTTACAGACTTTGATTAGACAGCAACTCTTAGCAATTACTTAAAAGGTCTAAGGGTGACAACATGTTGCCACTTAATAGAATAATGATTTTTGCAGTAGCCCAGATTGAATTAGTCTGAGTTATAAAACTCTTACAAAATTTTCAACAAACTCGAAACATCTTAGCCCTTGGATCACTTGACTAAATAAAGAATGCTGCATACACAATACTTTGCAAAATGGACATAAATTCAGTTGCTAGGCAGTGCTGATTGCTGAAATTTTCAAATCATCCATAGCGATCATAACTGCAACTTTCAACCAAACACAAACAAGCAAACAACTTTCATTTTGTATTCTGGTGCTCATTAACATCAGAAAAAAAGAAGAGACTACCTGGAATATTAAGTGAAACATGAATGGAATACGTAAAGATAACGTACCAAAAGTAAAACCATATGTAGCCAACAAAGCTTTATTGACAATAATAATTCCAACAGAAGTAACAATATTGAACATCCAAGCAGCTACATCATGAGCCACTTTCTGGTCATCCTGGCTTGTCGGAGGCATTGTGTTCCACTGCTTCAAAAGAGACTAGATTTCCAACAATCTTCAGCTTCAGGAAACTGACAAATATTAGATCATTTAGAGCTGGAACAAGAACATCAGGTCCTGAACTTATTTCTCTATTGACCAACAAAGTCAATTCCCCAGACAATTTTCAATATCAATCAAATTTAGTAGTGTAATCTAATTCACCAAGATATATTACATCACATCAGCATAGTTTCGCAAAATTGAACGACAAGTCCTCAGTTATCCAAGGTCTATCACATCTCACAAAAAGTTATCCCCTTTATGTATTGACCAGATGACAAAAGGAAAAGCTAAATTTCCCAGGGGTTGATTGAAATCCTTTAAATGTTTGATAAACCAATTACGCATTCACCCATCACATATTTAATCTTGTATATAAGAAATGATCGAATTAAAAATATTAGTACATGTCAATTATTCAGGTCAAGTATAAAATAACAGTAAAACAGCCAGAACTGTTGTCCAAGAAGTCATAATTCAATCTATCTATTTCCATCACAGATCCCCTAAATACACACTTGAATGATCATAACAATACTCAAAATCCAAAAACCCAGAAATTAATTCAACCAAAACAAAGAAAAGAATTTCCAATGCTTACATGGGACACAGTTGGTAAATGCGTTGCATGAATCCATGTGGTATGCAGGTAGTGTATAAATAGGGGAAATAGAAATAATTAAGCGGTTGAAAAGGTTCCCTTTGCACTATTATGAAGAGACGTAAACTGGAGAAAGAATTCCTCTGTTGTCTCTATTCGTGTATATAGACTTCTCTGCCGTCTAGTAATTTAAGGGAAAGAACTTTCTTTTCCTTTTAAACTAAGGACTTGTTTGATAAATACTCTTGAGAAGTAATACTTTAAAAACATTATTTTTGTGAGTGTATGGATAAAAAGAGGTAAAAAGTTACGGACGAACGTGAAAATGATTTCTTTTTTTAAAGAAATGTAATTGAAAATGAATGCGACAATAATCAAAATCAAATAAGATTTATATGTAAGAGCAATAAAATATTTTAATTTTAGTCATGTCCTGAAAATTTGCGTCACGACTAGAGAAGGAGAGGGTTGCCAGAGTCTCGTACCGTTTTCATCCATACAAAAACACTATTAGTCACCCTTGAGTTGATAATTATATTCCATTGTGGTCCACTGGTCGTCGAATTAGTCACAATAAATTAGGGGTATATAAGTACCCGTCTATCGAAGGTTATAGAATTGTGAAATGATTGTGTGACTGCAAAAGTTTGTTAATGCATGTTTTTGCCCTTCAAATGCCCAAAAATGTTTGATATAATTTTTTTTTTTATATAAAAAATCTCGTTGCATTTTCAAATCTTGATCTTCTTAGTAGAAATAATATTTTTGACAAGCTCTACATCAAAATTATAGCACTATAGCATTATCGAACCCGTTAAGCCACATCATCATTTTCATTGTATAAATTGTAATTTCATTAATCACGTAGTTAGACGATTGTATCAAGTAAAATCTCTTAATGATTATTGACAATTTTTGTATGGGGTGCAAATAGTGGTAATCTACACTAGCAATAGTATAGTATGCACTGATAGACATTCTCTTGCACGACTAATTTCTTTAATCACATATATGCTTTTCTTATGCTAAGTACTCGGGTGATGTGGCACGCTACAATAAGTGGAGCGAGATAATGATTGATTACAAAACTGATTACACTACATATTGTAGTATGACACATTATCCAGTAATGGTTAATTACAAAATCGATTACACCACCTAGTGTAGTGTGATACATCATCC